CTCCTTGTTACTTCTAATAGGAAACATCTTGTACTGGTTCTCTAAAAACAATAACTGGATGATGCAATAGTAAGAGGAAGTGGGGAAAATAGAAATGATGTTTATTTTGCTGTCTGGCCTATGCTCACTTTAAAAAAATTCTTGCATGTTCAGGTTTCTTTACTACTATAACCCGAATGAAAGTTGGGAATTACAGGAATTCTCCAATAACTTTATATAACGGCCGTACAGGTAATCACATTTATAATGAAAGAGGATCTTTTGGTTCAGGATAATAATTGTGGGAAGCTGGCAGGTTAATGTTCTCTAAATGTATGGGGCAAATTTCTTGCCTTATTTGTATGGATGTCTCTTGTTAAGCATACCATTTTCTTAGTCAATGTGGAATGCTGTATTTTATGGATGATTGTTCTGTAACATGCAAGACTTCTCTATTTTCTATGTTTATGTGTTGAAACACAAGGTTCTATTTTTTATACCTTTGCCTCTCACACCAAATTACACTAACCAATTAAATGATAGATCATCGTGTCCCCTAACTACAGTGAAGACTGGAGCTGCCAATTCAGAGATACATCATATCCTAATTATCAGCCCCAGATATGGGAGCACAAGGATGCAGCTGAGAATGAATCAGTTGGGCAGCTGGGACTTTGGAAATGTGCAGGGGTGGGGGGAGGATTGCTAGCAGTCATATTATGCTTTTGTTGAGAGTGGTAAATTGGGTAGTTCTATGCATGAAATATCCTAAACAAACAAGATAGAAGCCAAATAATATAACAATTTATTTTTCACTTCTCTTGCTGAACTGTTTCAATTACATCACAGCTTTCTCTGTATGGTTAGAAATGAAGAAAGCATAAAAAAGCTACAGCAGCTTTGCTCAAATTTGATACCCTCCAGATGAGTTGGCCAAGATTACTGGTAAAAGTGGGAATTCTAGTCCAACTTATCTGGCGAGTGCCAATTTAGGAAAAAATGGGTTGTATTAAAAATGTGAAATGGCAAGTCGTAGCTACTTTCCCTTTCTTTGCTAAAGTAAGCATGAAGAGTTTAAGCAGACTATGTGGGTGAACAAAGAGGAACTGAGATCGGCAACCATTTTAATTTCCAGTCCAAAAATAAGAAGAAAGGAATGCATAACAGACATACTTTAATTTTCTTTGGGCATTGTAGTGTCCACTGGTGTAACATGGAACTATCAGAGTTTTCCAGTTAAGGTGAATGATGCTGAATATCAGTAGTGAAATAATCCAATATGCTACAGATGTTTCAAATACAGTGGTACCTCGGGTGATAAACTTAATTCCTTCCGTGACCCGAATCAAATTTTCCCATAAGGTTCAATGTAATTACGGTTAATCCGTTCTGAAC